ATGACATGGGTGGTACTTTGGGGATTCAAACAAAGGTTTCCTACCAAGACATGTGCATGGATATATTGGAACATACATTACATCATGTAGAACATATGTTTAGAGATACTTATAAGACTTGGGTAATTCCAGACTTTAGTTTAAATTCTCAAAATCCTGTCAAGATTTGACCATATTATATTTATTTAACTGGTTCATGAATGTGAGAGATGATAGATGTACATGTGTAGATTTGCATATGCAACTCAATTTTTTTGTTTTGACTGATGATGATTGTAAATAATGTAACCATCAGTTACACCTCACAATACAACAAATTAAAATATGATTAATAAGTTCCATAATATATATTGTATTGTAGGTTCTAAGAAGTGTGCCTTTTCTGGGGTGAGGACGTCAGTACTGCTTGGCTCAGCAGAATCCCAAATTATAACGTATGATGAATTGTATGCCAACAAGGGGAAAGATTTTGACATTGATACAGGCATATTTACCTGTCAGGTACCTGGCATTTATTATTTCTCTTTCACGATGAGATCGTATGATAACTATCATATTGGTGTTACTTTGGTGAAAAATAGTAGCCCACAGGTTTCCATGATAACCGATGCCAGTGACAGGAAAGTGATGCAGTCTCAAAGTGTCATGCTGGATTTGTTGATTGGTGACAGAGTGTGGTTACAGCTTGGCCCTCACAAATATTTTGCCGTTTATAGTGACGATAAGAAATATATTACATTTAATGGATTTGTTCTTTACCCAAACTACATCTAACAATACAATAACATGTGTTTACAAGGGTAGAACAAGTAGCATCAGTGTGATGTGTAATGTCTACAGCAATATCAAACTCAATTTTAAATGACTAGCCTGTACACTTGTTGAGCAAATAATGTCTCAGTTAAAGTTGTAGGTTATATAAGGTTATTTGATTATTTGTGTTTTCTTTTGCTTTATTGTACATTTTTTTTACAAATTTTAACATGTGATATAAAAGTAATTTTGCTTATGGCTGCAAATTCACTGTATAAAGAATTAGCACATTTATAATCGTCAGAATATCCAAATGTACATTTGCCAGTAAATACAGAAAACATTTACTTATGTGGTTTTGTGCCGTATAGTTTCGGTTTGTGGAATGTCGTTGATGTAACATACAATTAACATACAATAAAAATACAATTACAAACACTAAGAATACTGAGTGAGTGTATCTTTTATGCTACGTGATTGGAATCGTCTGCTGATACAGACCATCATCAACTACTGTTGGCACCAAGTTTTGGAACTCTGTGATTGGTACTGTGAACTCATTGGTACCAATACCATATATATTAGAGCCGCTGTCAAGAATGAAATTTGTATTAGGTACTTGAGCAATGAAAGTGGAATTGAAAGCTGGCTGCCTAAAATACAAATCTTCAGCTAGAATAAGTCAAGAAACTACAATTTACGGATATTAAGTGTGCTGCCATGGCAACCACCCAAAAAGACCAAAGGCTATGATGGTAGCTGTTCTTGCTGGTAGTTGTTATATCAACATGGTGTAACATTAGAACCATATGTTGTGTTTAAAGGTGTGATTGGTATTGAGTGCAAAATGTGCCATCATGATACAACAATAGAACCAGATGTTGTGTTTGAATCTGTGTGGTTGGTATTGAGTTCGAAATGTGCCATCATGATAAGATATTAGAACGAGATGTTGTATATGAA